GCATTGCCCCAGAAGCAAGAATTGCTGTCCTAGACCTTGGGCTATGAAAATACATAATTTATTGGAAAATGGAGAATCACCACTGTGTGAGTGAGTTTAATACAGTTTTCAAAGTTCTCATACTTCTGAACATAGCGTGGGTGAAACCAGAAGCGTGGAGGAAATGACTGTTTTCATTAATTTCACTAACAAGGAGTGTGATCACTATGGGGCATGCTGGTTTCATAGAGAAAATACTGTGGGGGTTGTTAATTTGGTTTGCGTGTTTAATATGCCATTCTTCCCAGTTTGATCTCTAGCTTTTGTTCCTTGACCCTTCTTTGGTTTTCTTTCTTTTTTTCCTTTCCTCATGTACTGTCTAAAGCTAACTGCAGTCTCTTTTTCTTCACTCCTCATCCTGTGGGATAAATAAAATGACATATAATTCATTAAGCTTTATTTGAAGTAATGGTTTTATCTTCCCACTCTTGAAATCCTTTGTCATGTTTGACGTTGTGTAAAAAAGTAAGTTACTAGAATTTTTACAAATGCTCCTTGGGTAGAGAAAAAAAATTGAAAATAGCCAGTCTGGATGGGCACAGAGGAGGGCTAAGACTCAAGGTGCCATGGTGCAATGGACTTGGACTCCTGGCTCTTTTATTTGCTAACTATGTGACCTTGACACACCAATTTCATCTCTCTGAGTTACAATATTCCTTATCCATAAAATGGGGATAATGGGAGCCAGCAAGTGGTGTGGTGGGTGAGGGACTGGTCTGCCACATGGGCAACCATGACTCAAGTCCCAGACCTGGTGGCTTGATTTCTCACTTTCTTGCTCTTTTTCTGGTCAAATTTTAAAAATGATAATAATAAATAATTATTTCAAAATAGGAATAGTGATACTTCTTGTTTTGAGGGGTTAGGTGAGGGTCAAATGAGATGATTAGAGTTAGTACGCTATCAGTAAATGTAAGATGGCAGTTAACAGTTGCTAGTTATTTTAAATTCTGGGATGTTTGAAAATCAGGAGTTGTCTTTAAAGATGGTTAAGGTGAGTGAAAAGAGATACCTCATAGTCTCATGAGCAGAGGCGATGTCTCTGGTAAAAAAGCTTTAATAATGTTAGTATCTTATAAGAGCTAATTGTTTTTGTTTTGTTTTTTAAGTTTTTGTCATAGGGCACATGCTCTTGTCAGAGAGAGACAGAAAGAGGGAAAGTGAGAAATCACCCCCTAGGCAGATGGACATACTACAATCCCTTCCTCCTTCATTCTCCTCTTGGGACTTTGGGCATGTATGCACGTGCACCCAGTGTGATTTTAAGCCTCCAGGTCCAGGATTCAAACAGTGGTCAGCTATGTGGGACTCAAATACCTTTATTTTTTGGTTAAAAAATGATTTATTTAATTTTATTTATTTATTATTTTTTAAAATTTGCTATACAGCATGTGTCCACGAGAGAAAAAGAGAGAGAGAGAGAGAGAAAGCAAGCTACCACGTCTGGTACTCGAACCCTGGTAAGCCATGTGGGAATCAAGCACCTTAACCACCATGCCATCTTGTTGCCCCAGAAGCTAGTTTTTTTTTTTTTTTTTTTTTTAATCATAGAGCTAAATACACACTTCTCCCAGGAGTCAGAAAGAGAAAGGAAGATCCAGGGGAAGGTAGAAGCAGCTACAGGTCTGTCTGGTGTCCTTGTATCAGTCTCTGAGCATAAAACACTGTGGGTACTGTTTGTTTTATCTTCCAGATCTCTCAGTAAATGTCCTTTGCAGCTTACTATAATCAGAAACAAAGCAAAGAGAATTTTGGAAAATGAGGTTCAGTGTAGCTAAGGTGACACACATTAAAAATTGCCCAATATACGTTAATCTAAAACCTTTTTTTTTTTTTTTTTTTGAGAGAGATATTTTTTGCTATAGGGCACATGTGCTCGCTGGAGAGACAAAGAAAAAGATAAAGTGGGAAATCACCCCTTTGGGGGATGGCAAACTACGATCCCTTTTCCTCTATTCCCTTCTTGGGATTTGGAGCACACAAACATACCTGCCTGGTATGAATTTCAAGCTGTTAGATCCAGGACTCTAACCATGGCCAGTAATGTGGGAGTCCGGTGCCTTAACCACTATGTTACCTGCTGGCCCAAAACTTATTTTTAAATTTGCTACAGGGCACATGTGCTCAAGAGGGAGAGACAGAGAGAGAGAGAGAGAGAGAGAAGACAAGTGAGAAAGTATCTCTAGGAGGGGTGACCATGCTAAAATACTTTCTACTCCATTCTCCTCTCAGAATTTTGGGCATGCACACACATGACCCTGGCATGCTTTTCAAGCTGCTGGATCTGGGACTTGAACTGCATATTTGGCTATGTGGGATCTAGCCACCTTAACTATCATGCCACCTGCTGGCCCAATCTAAAGCTTAAAAAAAATTTACAATAAATCTCAAATAACATCTCATTTTCCCCTAAGAAACTTCATATGTATCTATAAAAGATACATTATTTTTTAAAAAAAGAAAAACATAATTCTAAAGGCATTATGAAATCTCAAAAAATATTGACAGCAATTTCTTAGTGTTATTCTTAGTATTATAAATATCCAGTCAGCATTCAGATTTCCTTAATTATCTCATAAATGTTTTTCTGTATTTGGCTTGTTGAGAATAAGAATCCTAGCAAGCCCATACTTGTTGGGATCAGATTATATTTGACTGAGTCCTTATTTTGTCCTTATAAGTGCAATGTGAAGAGATCAAATGATTCCCTAATACAGAAAACAAGTATAGTGTTGGCAATTTGCAAAAGGCAGGCAGAAATTGAGAAGTATTTATTATTGAGGAACTTCTGCAGCTTTAGGTAGGAATGGGTGATAATATGTTGTATTTTTGTCTGAGACTGATCCTATATTCTCTTCTTGAATAGGTTCAAATGTTGAATTTAAGAAAGACGTAAAGGTAGTGAATATATTTACATTTAAAGAATTAAAGAAAAACATATTTGAAGAATTAGTACAGAATATGCTGTGAGTCAACAACTAGAGAATCACAACAGAGGGCGTGGTGGCGCCAGCCCTATGGCAAAAACCTATGGAGACTGGAGAATCACAACAGATAAATAGAAATGATAAAATTGAACCAAGTAAAAGTTTTAGGATTGAAAAGTCCACTAACTGAAATGAAGAATTTCCTAGATGAACTCAGTAGCAGATTAGATATGGTAGAAGAAAGAATCAGTGAAATTGGAGGTATGTAGAAGTTATTCAAACCAAAGAGCAGAGATTAAAAAAAAAAAGAGAGAGAGTAAAATGAACAGAACCTTATATGACACATTACATGTTCCATCATAATTCTAATTTGGTATAAGAGAAGTCTCAGATGGAGAGAAGAGAAAGGGATAAAAAAATTGGAGAAATAATCTGAAAACTTCTCAAATTTGCTGAAAATTATTATGGCTTCAGGAAGCTCAATGAACTTCAAGTGAGATAACAGAAAGAAAACACACCTAGACAGATTATAGTTACTCTGTTAAAAGACAAAGAAGATTTTTTTTTTTTTTAGAGAGAGAGATTTGTTACAGGTGTGTGTGCTCTGCCAGAGAGACAGAAAGTGAGAAATCACTACTTGAGCGGGGATGGCCGTGTCACAATTCCTTTTCCTCCATTCTTCTCTCGGAATTTTGGGCATGCATACACATGTGCCCAGTGTGAGTTTCAGGCCACCAGGTCTGGGTCTAAAACCATGGTCGACTATGTAGGAGTTCAACAATGTAACCATTATGTCATCTGCTGGTCTCAGACAAAGAGAATTTAAAATTTTTTTTCCTGAAGATATATGCCCTCACCAGAGAGAGAGAGACTTGCGTCTCCCAGTGGGGTGTGGTCATACCATATTTTCTTTATTTCTCCATCTTGTTGGGATTTGGGGCAGACATCTGGCTCTTCTGACCTCCTTGTCATGGCCCAGTTCTTACACTTCTGATCTTTAACGGGAAACAAGGTAGAGTGCTTAAGGGCATAGACCCTGGAGCAAGGCTGGCCAGGAGAGGTCTTCCTCTGCCACTTACTTAACCTAAGTCAAAGCTATTATAGGGGAAGATAAGAGTTAATTTTTGTGAACTGAAGTCAGACAGTGACACAAGGGTAAGAGCCAATGCTCTGTGAGGCTGACACACGTAGGAAGGTTTTGGGTTTCCGTCCCTAAATATGCATGTGCATGCCCATAATCTCAGGCTGGCTGAGCTGAGAGTGTCAGCATCAAGACCCTGTTGGGGGTGTTACCTCTTCTCTGTCTTTCTTTGTCCCTGCCTCTCACTGTCTCTCTCACTCATGGAAGAAACAAATAAATAAACTTTAGAGAAAAAATATGTCATAGTGCTTAGAACCATGCCTGGTTCATAGCAGGCACGACATAATTTTTTTAAGCATAAATTATTTTCTGTATCTTCTGTGGCAGTTACATGACATATATGTCTGTCAAAACTTGTCAGAATGGTGTTGAGAAAGGGTGCATTTTACTCTGTAAATTAGACCTCAGTAAACCTGACCCCAAATTTTCCAAATGTTAAGAAATTCTTTCATTTAACCAACCAAGAGTTTATTAGGTATTGCACAGTGGGATTATAAGATATGTAATTCACAGAGGCTTGCTACTCTGGTTGTGCAAACCAATTGTAATGCAGAATAAATTTGCATATGAGCATGACAAGCTAAAAGATGCTGCCAAGTAGTTTGTTAGTCATCTCGGCAAGAAATGCTGGAGGGGTGTAGAGTCAGATTGCTTCTTGTGGACATGATGACTTCACCAGAGCTGGAACTACAGGTGGGCCTTAGAGGATGGGAATGAGGGTGTTAGGGAGGTGGACTTTCAGGAGGGTGCAAGAGTGCAGGTACAAGGTGGGGCAGGAATGGTGTGGAGAGTTTAGACAACCAGGACTGGTTAGACTGATAAGGACTCTCTCTCCCGCTGTGTGAGGGACAGCTTTGCTCTCTAGACTAACATTGTTTTCTCTTCATGCCTAGAAAGGCCCCCCTTCTGGGAAAGACCGTGTGAAGAAAGGTGGATCATACATGTGCCATAAGGTATGTTATGCCCCTGAACTCTGTTTTGATGTCTTAATAGGTTTGTAGATCCATTGTAAGCAGTAGCCCCAGATGCCCTTGTTTACTTCTGCTAATACATACCTACCCCCATCAAAAGTAGAAAATAGACAGCCATCAGAAGTTTGGTCACGGGCATGGGGACAAGTGGCATGAGAAGTAGAGGTTGTCGATGACGTATATTCAGCCAAATTCCATCTGTTGAATCTTCTCCCTTTGAGAGACCTTTGTAAAAGGGTGGGCCTTTCCCAGCATGTAAATCTATTGATAGAAGTGCACCCTTAATTTATTTGTGACTCGTGGGTCCTGCGTTGAGTTCAGGTGAGAGTTGTAAGTGCAGAGTGGCTTGTGATAAACTAGAGTGGAAGCATCCGAAGCGTTCTGGGTATGAAGTGTATGTTTGAAATAAGCATCGTTCCCACGGTGTTTCTGTTCTCTGGGTTCTGATTTCAGTTTCTAAGCTGGCTGTTCTTGGACACCAAGAATGATTTAGTGTTTCATAAGTAACCTTTATATGGAATTTGGAAATCAAATACTGTCCTCTTCCTTTTTTCTTTGAGTCATTTATTTTTAGTGTCTCCAGCACTTCAGCTTCTGTTTTTCTATCCCCGTGCAAAGATGGCATTTTGCAGGTTGTTATTGCCAAGAAGCTTCCCATAGTAATTCACTCAGTCCAGGCGGTTAGAGACTTAAAACCACCTATACTGACTCCAAATTAAGTTACTAATTTGATGATAGAAACATTATCAAACTTTGCCTTGAAACACTGGTTCTCAAACTTTATTGCATTTTGGAATCATCTGGGATCTATATAAAAAATACTCATGCCTGGCTTCCCACTTGTTCCCACTTTGATTTGTTTTTTCTAGGGTATAACCTGGACATCAGACTTAAAAAAAATGTGTCAGAGGGCATGAACGCTTGCTGGAGACAGAGGGCGAGTGAGAAGGCCTCACTCCCCTCCATAGGGAATGGTCTTGCTGCAATCTCTTCTTGATTTCTCCCTCCTTTTGGGATTTTTAGTGTACTCATGTGCCTAGTATACTTTTCAGGCGGTGTCTAACCACCTTAACCATCATGCACCTGTCTGGCCAGCATCAGATTTTCTTTTTTCTTTCCATGCTAGAGAGAGAAAGTGAGAAATCACTCCCTGGGATGGCCACACCACAGTCTTTTCTCTGTTCTTCTCTTGGAATTTTAAACACACACACATATGCATGTGCCCAATGTGATTTTCAAGCCACTGGGTCCAGGACTACCAAACCATAGTAGGTCATGTGGAATCTAGTGCCTTAATCTACATTCTTACATGCCACCAACTGACAGTGTCAGATTTTATTTTTGCTACAGAGTGCATGTGTGCACAGGAGAGAGATAGAAGAGAAAGGAAAGGTAAGAAAGCATCCCACAGGGGAAATGGCCAGTGTACAGTCCCTCCTCCATTCTTTTCTTGGGATTTTGGGAACACAAGCACATGAGCCTGCTTTCTTTTTCAAGTCGTTGGTGTCTGGACTGAAACTGCGCACCCAGCCATGTGGCATCCCACTGCCTTAACCACCATATCACCGACTGGCCCAGTATAATTTATTTGTTTGTTTAGTTTTTGTGGTAGGGGGCGTGTGCTCCCCTGAGCATGACAGAGAGAAATCATCGTCTAGGGGGATGGCTCACTGCAGTCCTCCTCCAGTCTCCTCTTGGTATTTTGGGCACACACACACACTTGTGCCCAGCATAATTTTCAAGCCACTGGATCCAGGTCTTGAACCATACTGTTGGCCATGTGGGATCTAATCCACACCACTTGCTGGCCCAGAATCAGTTTTTGTTTTTGTTTGTTTGTTTTTGTTTTTGTTTGTTTGTTTTTGTTTTTGTTTGTTTTGAGAGATTTTTGTTATATGGCTCATGCACTCTCCAGAAACAGAAAGTGAGACATCACACCCCCTGCTGCCCCGCCTCCACCCCCAGGAGGGGTGGCCACCACGCCACAATCCTTTCTTCTCCATTCTCCTCCATTCTCCTCTTGGGATTTTGTGCATGAATGTACATATACCTGGTGTTGAGTTTCAAGCCGCCTGGTCCAGAACTCGAACTGCAGTGGACCACGTTGGGTGTCCAGTGCCTTACCCAATATGCCACCTGCTGGCCCCCGAGCATCAGTTTTTTTTTTTTTTAAAGCCCTCCAGGTAATTAAAAACACAGTAATATTTGGCAACCACTAGCCTAAAGAGAATCTCTCTGGATTCTGTGTGTACATGAATTTGTAAATATATATTTTCTGCATTTTTAAATTTAGAATTTATAATCTAGTGATTCAGGTGAAAGTTTATAGAATTGTGTTCAAGTTATGCTTTGTGCCTGTCTTTATGATAAAATATAGACAAATTTAGCTTTATAAAATTTCATTTTTAATTTCAAATTAAAAGCAATGCTTCAAGTCTTCCCAGTATGTATACATGTTCCTATATACGTCAAAGTCTTTAGTCACAGATCATTTGTCTAATTGAAGTTGTTACTTCAAGAGAACTTGGATCTTCTCTCTGAAGTACCAGTCTTTCTTGAGAAACAGGAAGATCCCTCTTTGTACAATGGTATCTCAAAATCCTAATTGCTACCAGTTATGTTACTGACATACTACACTTGTCTACTTGAGAATCTATTTCCTCTCTGAGTAATTGAGAATCAAGATTTTTCTTCTAAGTGGGGAAAATGAAATTTATAAAAAATATTTTCAATAAGTAAAATTGTTAAAATACCCCAATTCCAAACATGTGGATATATATGCTTAATTTTTTTTTAGGTCTGTAATCTTTGTTTTTAATCTGTGTTTTCATATGTTCTCCAATTGTTTTAAAATGTCTTTTAGTCTAATATACTTCTATTAAATGCAGTTACATGGTATAATTGATTTTGTACTTTTATCTTATATCCAGTAACCGTACTAAAAGTTCATCTATTTAATTCTAGCAATGTTTTTGTTTATTCTATTTAGATTTTCAACATAGGTGAACATATCATTGTGAATATAGAATTATTTCTTTTTATTTACTTTTTTAAAGAAATATTTAATTTTATTTGTTATTATTATAATTATTATTTCATTTTAAGTTTTGCTATAGGGCATGTGCACTCAACAGAGAGAGAAAGTAAGAAAGCAAGCTGCCAGGTCCGGGACTCAAACCTCAGTCAACCATGTGAGAGTCCAACACCTTAACCACCATACCACCTGCTGTACCCTAGTTACCTCTTTTTAATCTGTATGCGTTTTGTAACTTTTTTTTTCCTCTGTTGCATTGGGTAGAACATTCAGTGTTGAATAGGAGTGATAAGAACAGACATTCATATCTCATTCTTTTTTTTTTTTTTTGAGAGATTTTTGCTATAGGGCGCATGAGCTCGCCAGACAGAGAGAGACATAGAGACAGAAAGTGAGAAATCACCCCCCAGGAGGGGTGGTCACGCCACAATCCCTTCTCCTCCATTCTCCTCTCGGGATCTTGGGCACGCACGCACACGCGCCTGGCGTGAGTTTTAAGCCACCAGGTCCGGGACACGAACCGTGGTTGACTACGTGGGAGTCCAGCGACATAGCCATTACGCTAATTGCTGATTCCCCATGTCTCATTCTTGAAATAAGGGAATAAACATTTAATTTTTCAAAGTTTTTCCAAAATAAGCCATAGTGACTCACACATTAACACCACCTCTTAGGAGTCTGGACAACACCTGGGCAACCTGTGTTTGGTCCTCATGAGTGCTTACACTCTCCTGTCATTCTAGCTAATTAGGACGATGGGATAGGAATTTCGTGACACAGTGAGACCCTGTTAAAAATGCCTGTCTCTGGTCTTATGCTCACATATTGTGCAAGAAACACTTTTACCAAAATTATTCATTAAAGTCCAATCATTTACCTTTAAAAAAGAAAAATGCCTATCTCAGAGAGCCAGCAGGTAAATGGTCATTGAAGGTATTGAGTCCCACATGGCTGACTCCACACTTCAAGTCCTGGACCAGCAGCTTGAAAACTCTGGGCATGTGTGCATGCATACCTAAAATCCCTAGAGCAGAATGAGAGATTGTGGAGTGGCTATCCCTGCTGGGACATGATTTCTCATTTTCCCTCTCTCTGTCTCTCTGGTGAGCACACATGCCCTATGGCAAAAACCTAAGCAAACAAACAAACAAACAAAGCCTGTCTCTCTTTTCACTTTCATATAGGGAAAAAAGGTATATAATATGTATGATACTATCATTTTTCATAAATGGCCTTTATCAGCTTGAAAAAGTTTCCTTCTTTTTTATTTTAAAAAATAATTATTTATTTAATTTTATTTCTTCTTAATTTGCTACAGGGCATGTGCACCCACCAGAGAGATCGAGAGAGAACGTGAGACAGCAAGCCATCAGGTTCGGGACTTGAACCACGACTGGCCATGTGGGAGTCCAGTGCCTTAATTACCATGCCATCTGCTGGCCCTGAGAAAGTGTCCTTCTATTCCTAGTTTTATGAGTTGCCATCAGCAGTGGATGTGGATTTTGCGAGATGGTTTTTCTTTATCTCTTGAGGTCATTATATGGATTTAAAAAAAATTATTAATACGCTTAATTACATTGATTTTCAAATATTAACCATCTTTATCTTCCTAGGGTATATCCACTTAGTAATGATGCATTATCCTTTTTATGTATTTTGTTTGATTTGTTAGCATGTTGAGTGAGCATTTTTGTACTTGGTTTGTGATGGGTACTGTTATGATGTTTTGCTTTCTTGTAATGTCTTTGGTTTTAGTATCAGGGTATTGCTGTCTTCATAGATTAAACTGGGAAATACTTCGTTATCTTCTGTTTTTTTTTTTTTTGTAAGCACTCATATAGAATTGGCTGTGTTCCTGAAAAGTTTGATGGAATTCCCCAATGAAGTCAGTTGAACCTTAAGATATAAATTTAATATATTTAATAGACATAGTGCTGTGCAGCTTGTC